AATTCTGTCCCTTGGTGCCAGCCAGCAGGACACCTCCTCACACTGACCCCACACTGAGTCCTCCAAAGCTGAGAGATCTGCTCATCTCGGGGAGGAGGAGAGGGAATACAATTATTTCCATCAAAAAAAAGAACTTCCCAAGGTGTATGTAAATTATAAAACATTGTTCCATGGCTGATCTTGTTGGTGGGAAAAAAAAAAAAGCTGTCAAAATGATAACTGCTAAAGAAAAAAAGAAACCTGTGTGAGTGAAAGTTGGCAAGTCTGTTAGCAGAATGACTACTGTACTGGAAAATTACTGAGCACTGTTTATAAAGGCAATCAGACAGGAATGTTAGTCTTGGAGTCCTACTTTCAACATCAGCAGCTGTATTATTCTACTAGATTCCTTGTACTTTTCTCAAAAAAAAAAAAAAAAAATAGCTCCTAGTGACTGGGTGTGGCACAACCTGTTCCCAAAAGACAAGATTCACCTGATTGTTTTGAGCCCAGTGCAGCAGAGAGGTGGTGGAGAGCTTCAGGAGTGTGTGTGTTTCATGGAAAACACAATTTCATTTGTAAAGAGACTTTTCTTCTACACAGTCGAGCATGAGCTTGGTTTGACAGCTGTAAGCAAAGTATATCTGTCAGTTCCACATGACTGATTCTCAGAAATCTTTTGCAATTTTTCTTGCTAAAGTTATCCAATGTAAAATCCTAGCCCTGCTGAAAGCTGGGCTGGCGTTTGCCTAAATCAGTAGAGCCACAGTTTCTTCCAGGTGCCCCAGAAAACTAAGAGTGATTTCAATGTGATTTTGCATCACAAACTGGTAACTGGGCATGGATTTATCCTCACCTGTGCATTAAACCAAAAGGTTTTGAATAAAATCTATTAGAAAGAGAATCCTCACATTACAGGGCTTTAGATATTTTTCTGTCACATGGTTTTTTCAGACATATTTTGTAGGAAGTTTCCTCTGATGCTTTACTCAGCAGTAGCACAGGCTCTAAACTGGTTATAGGTGAGAGACAGCTCTAAAAAAACAGGTTTAATAACAAAAAATGTGTTATTGCAAACATGTCTTTGGTCATATCTGAGGTATTACTGTGAAAGCAGGGAAATAAATGTCACTGTAGCATTGGGGAGGCAGCAAAAGCACCCTGTACGTAGTGAGGGGATGTGTGAACATGGCATGGATGTTAGTGGAAGAGAACACACTGTTCTTCTGCAGGGCTCAGGGCAGAAACCACCAGGGGAAATTTAATGGGTTGCAATATTTACCCCAGAAGATGTAATGGCTTTATGCTGTAAGAGGCTGCAAATCTCTGAAAAGTGACCTCATGTCTTTTGATTGCACTCCCTCACCCCCATCCTTCAGCCTTGATCCATTTTATCTTCCTAACTTTTTTCGCCCCCAAATCTTTAGCTACAACCCCTCATTTGCAGATATTCATCTCCCCTGGGTTTATGTACATTGTGCTGCAGGCAATTTTTTTTCCTAGAAAATGTAGGAGTCTTAGGCAAGCCGGTAGAGTAGATAATTCAAGGTTAAAAACTAATCCAGACCATAGAAAGATCAAATGATGAACTGAATCTCCAAAAGATATTTCAAGTTTGCTCCAGGGACCTGCCAGATGAGTGTTGCCAAAGCAGATTAGAAGAACTCCCAACTCCTCAGAAGAGATACTGAGAGGTCAGAGGTTGAGGAAGACTCAGGAGACAAAGATTTAGAGCAGCCCTCTCAGATTGCATGTCCTGCCCATCCCAGCTTTTTGAAGCTTTTGAAAATCACACCCTTCTGGGCATATTTTAGCTGGAAAGACAGCCACTGACTGGGGTAAAATCTCTGCTTAAAAGCTCATCACTTTCTTCCTGAATCTAACCACCAGCCGGGATCACTTAGCTCTTGAATCTTCTGTAGAGGTAAGATTACAAAAAAATAATAATACCAGGGATGAAGGCATCCCTATGGTTGTGAGAAGGATGAGTGTATTTGTCACGTAAATCAGTGTTTGCTGGCAAAGTGAGAGGCTCTCCTGGGACCCCAGCTGGAGCACTCCCATGGTCCCACAGAAGATAGGTTATAACCTGGGAGGGAAAGACCAAGCTGAAAAGAACTCTGGTGTCAAGCAATCCCTAAGATCAGTTTACAGGCTTAAAGTGTAACTGGAAGCCAAATGCTTTATATGATATACACAGGGCTTAGTGTACAGCAGTTAATTGGCTTAGTTAATAATACAGAGCCAGCCTGGGGGTTGGAGTTAGAACACTGGAGTTATTTTTGACATTGTCATAAGAAAAATACCTACCCTTTTTCAAAGAAAATCACTCTCTTAAGTAGGTCTTGTTGTTAAACAAACTCAGGTGTGTTCAGAAGGTGTAATGACAGTGTAGAGACAAAAATCTACCTGTGCTGCAATTTAACACTTACCAAATTGTGATATTATTTGCACATTACATTTTTCTCCCCTGTGTGTATATTACTTGCAGATACACTGAATTACTAACTTTGCTAATATCTTGCTGCAAATTCCTTCCAAAAATTTGAAACTGGCAGGAATTTTCATCTTTAATCACTTTATCCATAAATCCTTTGTCTTTCCACATTGGTTATGAACATTATTGAAATATAGTTGCAGTGTTCCTGTGTGTTACAGGCACTAAAACAGTATTTTCAGCTGCATGTGAAGGAGAATTTGGGGGAACTGTGGAGGTTCAGGGCACTGCCAGCACTGTATGTAGGACTCACCTTTACTTGCTTGCCAGATTATTTTTACAAGCCATTGATTCAAGCATAGATTTCACTGAGATGCTGAAGTTTAGTGGTCAAAGTAATCATCCCCTTGGGGCTTTTGAAAATAACCTGCTTTACATATTGGCATTATTCAGACATTTAATGTTACTTGTCTCCTGGGTGTAAAAGTAAAACCAGCACCTTTAATTTCTAAGTATTTTGACTGTCACAGGCAGGGCAGAGTGGACTGTGAGGTTTCAGAGATCCCTTACAGCATTGCCCCACCTGATTTGGGATCAGGAGTGGATGTAGTGGATGGTGGCTGAAGGTGACCTCTCCAAGGGAAAAGCTGGAGATTGCTTTCACCACAGACACATCTTTGTGTTGGTACCCTGGGTTTCAGGTCATTCCCTGTGCAATCATTCTTCACATGATGATGATAATACTTGTTTTTTCTGTGCTAATTTTCTAGTTTCACTTTGCCACGTCTGTGCTGGTACTGGCTAGAGACCAGCAAGCAGGGTAGAAACCAAGTGATTTCTCCCCTGCACAAGAGCAACAAACAAAAAAATTAGAAAGGAATATTCCTTCCTAAAAGGAAAGCCATAACATTTCTTCTTAAGGCATATTGGAAGTAGTTGGCATGCTGTGTGCTGCCCATCCTAAGTGCAAGCTCACAGCCAGCCTCTGCCAAGAATGTATTTTTATCTTTCTCCTTTGCTTTCAGCCCCTTTCCCTTTTTCTTCTGCCAGTAGCTGTAGATCACAGTGAGAGCACAGTGCTGAAGTGAATATTAGCTGAGTGGAGCCTGGGCAGAGCCCTTTCCCAGCCTTCTGACTCACACTCAGCTCATAAAGCACAGTCATTTCTGCCCCTCCAGGCCTTTGTCAGGAGGTTCCTTCCCCCAGGTGGAGAATTCCCTCACGTTTGCTCCAACAGGGCAGAGCCCAACTGATACCAAGAGGCCTGGCTATTAATTTTCATGAACACTGATTTCTGCACTTCAGGGCTATTTCTGTCAGTCTTTCAGCCCTAGCATTCAATTTCCCAGCTGACATTTTCCCATTCCATAAGAGAAATACCAAGCCCTGGGCTGCAGAGATGCACCAAAAGCTGCAGTCTGAAGAAACAGGTTTGGTGTCTTGCCAGCTGTTATAGCCAACAGAAATTCACAGATGTGTCAGTCAACTGCTTTATTGCACAGGAATATTTGGGCAGGGCCCTGTTCCACAAAAGACAGGTGGCCAGTCTGCCCAGTCCTGCTCAAACCAAATGGCTTCTGCCTGCACTGTCAGTGCAGTCATCACACACGGCGTTCACAGATGAATTCATGACAATTGCAGCAGGTGAAGATGTTTCTGCAAATGGTGCTGAACTGATTTTCTCCCCTTCAGGAATGGGAAGATGTGAAACAGTTTTTTAATTCATTTCAAAGAAGTAACACACAACAACTCCAAAAGAGATATAGTAAATAAGTTGCTCTACCTGGATTACAGGGGCCTCCAGCAGCATAAAATAGTATTTCTCAGCAGGCCTATTTTTGAGAAGTCTTGTTTGGGCCACTTACCATAATGGACAGCCCAGGATTGGGTGACAAGTAAAAGATTTATGGTATAAGGATACAAATCTGCATGACAGTCCTGAATAACAGGCTAGAAGGTCAATTGCCTGGTGAGAAAGGCATGAGAGCCTTTTGGTGCTCAGTGGCTGCACAGTTATTGCTGCAGTCCCTCACTCCATCCAGGAATGCCTGTAATTACAGAGAACATGCTCTCACTGACAGATTGCAGGAAGCTGAAGATCGATCCTGCTTTTCTTTCAGAAAAAATTGTCCTTCCCTCCATCCCTCCTCCTTTAGATCCTTCTTAGATACTTTATTCACTGCCTTGTAACCCCACTGTGATGATTCCGGCACTTGCTGGAGTCAGTGGAGCTGGAAGACAGAGCAGGGAGGATTCCTCCTTTCCCTTGCACAGGAAGGTGTGCAGACAAGTCTGTCTTTATATGAGAGAAGAAACCAGCCCCACTGCAGAGAGTGGGGTTAAAGGGAGCAATGCAGAGTTTGGGGTATTGGGGCCAGGAGGCAATATTCCCTTGCATACTGACACTGCTGCTTTACACACTTCAGCTCCCAGAGGGGATCAGTGAGCTCAGGGTAACGACAGCACAGCACCATCAGAGCACCCACAAACCCAGGAAGAGCTGCCCATTTCTCACTGGCTTTAAATGAAGCATAATGTTTTACTCCAACAGTTTGCTAACATTTATCCTCTGGCTCCTTCCCAGGTGGGTGACTGGCCACTGGAGTCCCTGCTCTGCCACTTGTGAGAAGGGTGTGCAGCACCGGGAGGTCACTTGTGTTTATCAGCTGCAGAACGGCTCCTACGTCAACACCAGGGACCTCTACTGCCTGGGCAGCAAACCAGCTATGGTGCAGAGCTGTGAGGGACGTGACTGCCTGTCCATCTGGGAAGCATCAGAGTGGTCAAAGGTAGGAACCTCACTCCAGAAAGGAGCCACACTGCTCAGAGCTTAGATACACTGGCCTTAATCCATGGTTCTCATGGTCAGCATCCTCACAGCACTGGAGTGCTGGGCAGGGCTCTCATCTGTTGAGATGAGCAGTGAGGGGCTGAGATTTGGTTTCCAGACCAGATGAATTAGTAAGGCAGGGTTTAGATATGCTCTAGTGACTGTATCTTTCCATCTAAAAAGTCTGACCAAGAAGGAAAAACATTTCACTGACCTGAGGCCAGGAGTGCAGTAACCCAGGGCTTCTGGCTCCATTTAAATGTGGTGTGAAGAAATACCAGGCTTATCAGGCATCTGCATGTTACAGAGAATGTGCAGGCTTTGGGCCCTAGCCAGCCTTCTTTCGTGTAATTCCAGGAACAAGAAAAAGCTGGTTATATTTTGTATAAAAGGTGCATCTCAGAGTAGTTGCAGAGTTCAGAAATCTTTCCCAAGTGTTATGAATGCATTTCTGTTATAAATAATGGGAGATCTAGACATTTACCCTGTGTTTTGTTTAGCAGCAGAGTGATCTGGGATTGTGCCTGCAGTTCATGACCAGAACTCAGCTAGTACAGGGCAACTTTGTACCCTGTAACAGACCTTACAGGATGCCATGTTCACTTTGATGTTGTGTTTGCTGGGCTCACCTGGGTGATGAGCTCCTTTCACTCTGGGTGCAGGGTTGCAGCTTTACCAGCCTCATTCCAGCCTGGCTGTCCAGCAACAGCCCTTCCTGTGGGAAGGATTCCTCATTATTCACCTCTGGAACAGGGAGCTCCTGTTTAAAACATTGTCAAAGAGCTTTTGCTAGATATTATTGTTAGAAATGTGCTTTAAAGTCACAAAGCTCAAGACAGAAGGGATCCTGAGGAACAGTGTCTCCTCACAAACACAATGGGATTTCATTGTGCACCTCCTGGACAGGAAATCTTAGTTTGGCAAGAGAGGTGATGGTTAAGTGAGAGCAGTGTTCTCTTTCAGTGGGGTGCTGGATCCTTCACTGGTGCATGAGATTCATGTTCTTTCTGAGTTCTTTTGTTACAAAAGATACACACCAAGGTTTTAGTAAGTTGTCTGATAGGTCTTTTGTGTGTCATAGACATTCCCCTTTCAGATGATGCCCTCTTTATTTCTTATAGCTAAACCAGCTGAACTGTTTATAGCTGAGATTAGAGTGCAATTCCTACCTGGTTTACATGTGGATTTTTTTCCTTGAGTCTTTTGTTAACAATCCCAGGTACTTCTGTCTCACTTTTATGGAATAGAGTAAGTCAAGTTACAGATCAGTGGAAATCTTCCATATCCATGATCATGTAACTCGTTTGCAACTACACAACATTTTTACATAATTTTTTCAATTGCTGGATTACTTTTCCTTTGATACATTTATTTACTTTTGTTGGGTCTGTAACTGTGCACTTGTGATTTTAAATTTGTTATTCTAGCCCATTTCTGTTGTTATGAAGCTCAGTTGACTCCAGGACACATTTGATGCTCTGCCAGTGTGAACTCTTCTCACACCTAGGACTTTCTTCAGTGGTAATCACTTTATTCCTTAGCATTTTAATCTGATGTTGAGGAGTAAATATCACTGTAATTGTATCATTTTATAAATCTATTTTCTGATCTATTTTTTTAACTTCTTTCTCATACAGCACAGTTGACTGCACTGATGTCTGGTCTCTGGTCAAAAATGTATGTTTTCACAGCAAATTCCAATGCAATCTTCATTGTGGAAAAAATTAGGTTCCCCTTGTATTGCCAAACACTTGAGATTGTTTTGGACAAAGTACTGCTCAACCGATTTTTAATGATAAAAATAGAGACTGTCAGGAGAAGGTGAATGTTTCTACTGTTAGAGAAATAGAGTGGAAAAAAATATGGATTTCCTTCAGATAAAGGAGTTGTGTCTTAACTGCAAAGTTGTGTTGCTCCTTTGCAAAGCCTCATGGGATCCGACAAAGTAATTTGTTAATAAAATAAGACTTAATGATCTCGAGTGGACACACAGAAACTATGTCTATTAATTTGTGGACTCTCTGTAAAATCTATGTATTAAGAAATTCTTCATGAAAACAGATGACTTGAGGAAAGGAAAAAACCTCTTAAAGAGGGTGATTTATATGTGACCACCAAAGATCTGTTGGAAACCTTCTTGCTCATGCTGTTTTGTCTAGGAAAGTATATGCAGTATTAATCTGTGAATGACTTAAAAGCTGTGGGAAGAACAAACAGTTGGTGTTTTTCCCAGACTTGCTTGTAAAACCCACCTAGAAATTTCTCCTACTTTGAAAAATACTCCCACTTCAGCTTGATTTACTTCAAGTAAATTGGACCATTCCAAAGATTTTTATATATTGAGCTTTGTAGTTTGAGATGAACGAGTGCAACCCTGAGGAGTCCACCCTGGTGCCTGAGGAAAATTATACATAATTTGGGAAAGTCTACCAAACTTGGGGCAAATTCATGGCTTTAAGGTACCATTTAGGGAGCTCCAGCCTGAGATCTCTGCCAAGCCTTGTTCTCTGAGCAGTCCAGCAAAGCATTTTGTGGAATTCTGCAAAGCTGGGAAGAATTCACCCCCTGTCTTAGCAGAACTATAGATTGTGCTCCTTACAAAGATGTTATATCCGTAAGGGGCCACGCCATGAGCAGCACACAGTAAATTAAGTGGAAGGTTTCCCAGATTTTGAAGAAGTCACTTTGTAGTGCTGTGAAGTATTTAAAGGCATGTCTGTTTGCTTGCCAGCTCATGAACGCTTGTCATTCATGTCCTTAACAAGGCCAGCAGGTCAGAACTGCCTGGATTGTGTTTTTAAGACAGTTAGACAGGCATGCTGAGATTTGTCCATGTGATGTAATTTATATCAAGCTGACGCTTGTTTCCAGCATAGACCCCCTGGATGGAGAAGCTTCTTGGAACATGTTCAAAAGACCTCACAGAATATCTCATATCTGCACTATTTATTCAGTGTCAAATCAACTGTCTTTTCCCTGCTGGCCCCCCGAAGGGCAGAACTTGACATGCCAGAGGAGGTTAGTTTTTATCTCAGCTGGTACATAGATCATTTCTCCACCCACCTGTCCCCAGTGGCTCTGCAAGACAATTTCTCACTCTTAACCACTGCAGTGGCATCAGAATGAGGAGCAGGCAGACTGGCTGTGCTCAGGGGTGGTGACAAGGACTCAGGTGGCTGTGCCAGCAGGTGCTCTATTACCAAACTGTTTATTGAAAACAGAAATTTGGGTTCAGTTCGTGCCAATGTCCTTTTCCTACCTTGTACAGCCAATAAAATCAAGACAAATTCTTCATTAAACAAAAATTTCCAACCATTGTCAAAGATAACAAGAGAGTGACCAGATATTCCTGCTCTTTAGAAGCCTATTCCATGGAACCCAGGCAAAAAAAAATTGTGGATAGTTTTTGCTTACTCAGTAAATGTTAGAGTTTTTCAGAATTAAGATACTGATGGCAAATCAAAGTGTGAATGTGATGTGTGTGTTTCACATGAGAAGGTGTAAGAGTTGTGACTTTGCCATGATATGCATAAACTGTACTACAGAAATGTGTTTATAACAGTGGTCTCATGCTGCTGTAATTTAAAATTACATTTAACACCACCATTCATCACCCTTGATGTATCCCATGATACATCAAGGGATGTGGCAGTTCTGTGTAGTGAATCTCAGTGTGTCCTTCATTATGAACGAGGAGCTCCTCAACACAAGATTTAGTGGCACCAATTCTAGCCAAAAGCCAGCTGACGTTTTTGAAAGGAGGTTAATTTTCAAAATTGCCATTTTTCATAAGTAAAATATTTCACAAGCAGTCATCATGCTTTTCAAATTACTCATGTATGAGTGGCTTAGATTATTGTAATAAAACCTTATGGATTACCATTTTCCTCAGTGTTCATAACCCCAGCTTTTCCTCTGAGCTGTGTTACCAACATAAAAGCCATCATTTCTAAGCACCATGTAACAAAAAACCAAAACCCCTGTTTTTCTGCAGTGCTCAGCAGACTGTGGCAGGGGAATTCAGAAAAGAACAGTGACGTGCACAAACTCCCAAGGGAAATGTGATGCAGCCACCAGGCCGAGAGATGAGGAGGAGTGTGAGGATCACACAGGCTGCTACGAGTGGAAAACAGGAGACTGGTCCAAGGTAACAGCAAACACCTCATGGTGTTTAAATATTTATTACAAATTTAAATATTTATTACAGATTTAACTGGTTTTCAGGTTAGTCTCAGATCTACACACATTGTCCAGTCCTAGACTCATTCCAACCACCTGAAATGAAAGAAAGGCTTGAGTTTAAAGGCAAAGCCAAAACCATCAGTCCCTTCCTCAGGGCTGGAGCTTTCCTTCACAGTCCTGTCTGAATTTTGTTTCTCCAGTGACATCAGTGGAATTAATTCCTGAATGCAGTGGATTAAAGCAGAGCAGAGTCTGCTCTGTATTTGCATTCTGATCTTAAAGTAATATGAGGTTTTGCTTGGGAAGGAGGCCTGGCAGTGTGAGAAATTCAACGCTTGCCAGTGTTGTTCAGAAAGCATCCTTTACATTACTGACTTGGTGTTTGCAAAAAGGACTAAATTTTCCCAGCAATATTATATTCCAGTTTGGTTTTATCTTATCTTTCTAACTGTGCTGTTCTTTAAACAGAAAACCTACTTTCTGTTCTGGAATGTACGGCATGTGCAGAAACCACTGGGATACAGTAGTTGCACTTTGCTTTCCAAAAACCCAAACTCCAGCAAACAAAATCCAGTGAAGCAGAGGCCCAGGATGGGCAAATTGGCTTATCTGTGATTGCTTTTTTTTTTTTTTTTTTTTTAGGAATTACAATTATGTATATACTTTGTCATAGATACATGAATTTAGTGGTGTCAGTGCTGGAGAATGCAGGAAGAACCTGCCACATACAGAGTGTCTGTATTTATGCTGAGCCAGGAATTTATGTCACAAGATGTTTACAGTATTGAACATTATTTTATTCATAACCTGGCACTCTGAGTCCATGCAAGCTGGCCAAAACAAACAGTCTCCATGTGTTAACAGGTGAAATAACATTATTTATTTATTTATTTATTTATTTATTTGTGGAACACTAAAACATTTTGGCATGCAAACAGACCCAGGTTCTCTTGATAGGGAGGAATATGAAATAACTGAATAACTGTGTATTCACTGATTGCGTGGATTGAAAGTTCAGTGTTGTGTGAACAGTTCCAATCTGATAAGGATGTTGGCTCACTGCTGGGACAACTGCAGTCTTACATGGGTCACAGTAAACAATGTTGTTTGATGGGTTTAATGTCTGCATGTGAGCAGGGCAGGATCAGTGCAAAATCACTTGTTATTTGTGATTCTTAACTTGGGATCTGGATCATCCTGTGCAGGAGGGCACAAAAGCTTGTGTGTTGCTTATGTGGCTTGCTTCTGTCTGCAGGGAGCTTGTGCCAGTGCTCTGCTTCCCAGGAATTTCACCCTCTGTGAGTCCAGCCGGATGTTCTTGGACTTAGATTTGGTTTGTAATGAGCATTTAAAATTCTAGACATATTGGTTAATTCTGACTGGACACTTAGGTCACACAATTAGATTCTTATTCTCTGAGCGGTAGAGATTGCTAGAAAAGGGTAGGTGCAATTCTTAGAAGAAAATGTATTGTTCCAGAAACCCAGATAGCTGAAATGTTTAAAGTGGAATTCAATTCTTCACAAATCCTGAGTGAAGGATTTTCATCATGAGGATCCAGAAGCTTTAATACAGGGCTTGGACTTAGGAGGGGAGCCTTTACAGCTATCAGCAACTCTGGCTTAAAACAGTTCATCCTTTAAGGAGAAGCACAAAGTCTGTTGCCATTAGCCTACAGTGAACTCTTTAAAATTCATCCTTCCAGGGCAAAATTTCACTGTAAAACATTTGTTCCCAGGCCTGTAAAAGTCACTGTGAGAGAGCTTTGCTGACTAAGATGGAAACTTTTTCTGTTAATACAAATTGATCTCAGAACAAGCAACAACTTAGTGCAATTAATGTGTTGCGCATTTGTTGCTTATTGTTGAGAACCATCAGGGAAGCACGATTTAACTAACAGTGGTAATTATCACAGATTAAAATAATGGGCCTTGATGCTTTATGTGCAAACAGCTTGCCTGGTGACTTGGCCACTGATCCTTAATTTCCCAAACCAAGATCCTCTTTGAAGATGCTGGGAAGTCGTGTAAGAGAATGGGAAAACCTCATTTTAAAAGTCAAGTCCAGATACAACTTGTAAATAAAGCAGGCTGTTTGGGTGGTACGACAGTGTTGGTTTTGTGTTAGTAGTGGCAGTATTTGTGGACTCTGTCTGACACAGACTCTGTGCATGAGGAGATGGTTCAGCTCCCTAAGGAGCTCCTGGCAGCAGTAAAACCTCCACACCTACCCCAGACAAATTGTGATTTTAAGTTCTCAGCTCCCATGTAAAAGAGGTGGGGGCTGGAGATGAGGCCATGCTGATCTGAGACTTACACCCACAAGCCAAACCTCATCCGCTGGCCTTAGCAACAGCTCTGTAGCCATTATCCATGCCTGAGAGAAGAAGGATTTTATCCCATTTTCTCTCAGGTTTATTTGCAGCAAGGACCACCTTGCTGTGTCTTGTAGCTTTTGGAAAGCATTTGGAGCTAATTGTTATGTTTGTATATTCTTAATATATTTGCAGCATGTTTCAAGTGTTGCACAAGAAATTGATATATCCAGTTCACTTTGTGAACACACAAGGCCAGGTTTGTAAAGTTATTTTAAATGGCTCTGAGCTTTCCTTTGTTAGTCCAGTGCTTGAGATTAACCCACTGGACTGGAATTTTAAAGACAGAGACTTGTTCTGCTACTCGACCTCTGTTGCCACTGCTACTAAACTTTCAGCTTCTCTACACTGCTGCCACTTCTCTTTTAAACCCATTATTAAAGGGATATAAGTATTATTTTTAGTATTTATCTCAGCATGAGTGATACAAGTTTCATAACTAAACTGCTTCTGGTCCCAGAGTCTTCAAACCTAATAGAAACATGATTTGCACAATGCAAGACCCACTGAAGGTGTTAACCTGAAATATTTTTTTTTTATTTTTGCCTGGATTCTTCATAATTGCAATTCATTATATCATCCTTTTTTGTACATGATGCAATATACAAAAGGGAGTCCAAGCCATCTCCCATTCAGTCCTTTCTTCCAAGAGGAAATTCCACATCCAGTTTGCATTCAGTTAAAGAAACAAACATCTCATACAGTCGTTCTGCTTTGAAATAGTTCCTCCTTGTTTGAAATCTGAGCTGTTAAATGTTCTAGCACTGGAAGCATTTTTACATTTTTGTTGTAGTTGTGCTGGTCAGAGGAACAAACACAGGTTGCTCAGTTTCCCAACACTTGCCTCAGACTCCCAGACTGCTGAAAAAGTGCCTCTTGATGCTTTAGCAAGACAGTAGTCCATTCTTTCACAGTGAATTATATTTTTGCTGACAAACTTTACATTGAGGATTACATTCCTGCAAGAACAGAGCATGTCTTTATGTGTGTGGCTCTCTGGGGAGCTGAGCAGGACACACAACCCAGCTCCACACCATTCCCTGCCCCAGGCTGTGCTGGAAGGAGCAGCTGCAGGACTTGGACCTGGTGTTGGAGTCACTGCAAACGTGTCCCAGGTGATGTGGGGAGCTGGAGGTGTTGGCGAGTTGTGGTGGTGACACAGATCTTGTGCTTGAAGGTGAGCAGCAGGGGCTGCTTTTCAGCCACCCGAGGCTGCCCCATGTCCTCACCTCTCTCCCCTTCTGCTCCAGCAGAAGGCAGGAAAAGATGGCCCAGGGGAGTCCATATTATCTCCACAACCACCTCAAAGCTGTTGTGTTGAGGTGAGGGCCAGGCTGTTCTCCCAGACAACCAGAGATAGCACAAAGGAGGTTCAAGTTAGATATTAGGGAAATGTTCATCACTGAAAGAGGGGTTAAGCATTGGAACAGGCTCTCCAGGGAAGTGGTGGAGTCACCATCCCTGGAAGTGCTCAAAAACCAAGCAGATGTGGCACTCAGGTGCTTAGTTTAGTACTCAGCACTTAGCACTCAGGTTCTGGGGTTTAGTGGGCAAGGTGGTGTTTGGTCAAAGGCTGGACTTGACCTTGGAGGTCTTTTCCAACCTTAGTAATTTTTTAATTTTGTACAGGCAAAGGCTACATTTTAGGAGTTCCTTTCCTCCAGTTGTGCCTTGGACTCTTCTAAGGTTGCCTGGTGACTGAGGAGGCAAGGTTATATAGCAGGAGCAATTCTCCACAAGATTTTTATGGAATTTTCTTTATTTCCAGTTTTACTTAATTGTTTCTCTATTTCATGTGCCTCAAATTCTGTCCTGACTAAAGTTCTGTATATGGAGCCAATAGCACAGAATGGTTCAGGGCTCCCAGTTTCATTTTTTTTACTATTCTCCATTTCACTGGTGTTGTATCAAGAAAGGTGGAATTACAAGCCAGACACACAAGCTCCATCATTAGCTCTGACTTTCACAAGCGGTATTTTCAGCTCTGTGGGTGGAAGTTTAAATATAAAACTTCTGTCCCTGAGGCAACAATTTAGTTCATTAACCTATTATATTACCTAGCCCAATGAAAAGAGTTTTAGAAGAAGAAAGACACATAGAGGCCTTGTAGCATGTTGGCTTTGCCATATTTTTTTCTTTGCAGTTACAGTAGGTGCTCTGTAAATACTAAGGCCTGTATTAATCTCAGATAACCCAGTGTAAATCCAGGGTAACTGTCTTTCATTCTTCCCTACAACCCACTGGCCACAGGCCAAGGATCTCACTCAGCACACTGGGTCAGATATCAGTCTCTCTTACATGAGGGTAAACCCAGATTAATTCAGGCACTTGAGTTAGTGCAGGTTTATGCCAATGCCATGCACGGCAGGATCTGACCTGGTGGGCTGTGCAGAATCTTTGGGTCTTGGGTAGGAACCATCACAGATTTGTGCTCTCAGGAGAAAGCAAATCTGTGTTGGGCTTCAGTTAGCAGAGAAAGCAGAGGAAAAATCTATTTCTACTACTTCACATCTTGTATAACCACCTGGCACAGCTTTCACTGGATTCAGAGAGATTGAACACTCCAGAAACTGGAAGGCATCAGTAAGGAT